GACAATGTTAATTATCCATCGATTAAACGATTGAACGTATTGTACTTAGATGAAGAACTATAGTCTCAATGAGATATAATAGATATATGAGTAGAGATTGAAGGATCTCTCTATATTCGACTCTAAAATTAGACAGATGCAAGAAGTAGGGAGGTACCGAGACAGGACAGACCGCAGAAATCGGTTCCGCGGAAATCAAATCGCCAGGTCTTCCTTTCCTTTTTAAGCAGCTGATCGGCAAACGATTGTCCGTACCGACCGGAAACGGACAACATACCTCGGAGGATCAACGTGCAACGATTCAGGCGGATTAAAGCTGACAATTACAGGGAGCTGGCAAGAGGGAGGGTGGTGGTACTCCCCTTTTCCTTTATATTACAACAGTACACACTATCCGCGGCGGTAGTTTAGATAGATAGGTGGGTAGGTAGGTTCGCGAATGAGTCAGGTCATGCTAGGTTAGATTGGACGTTGTCTCCATACACGTATGCACTCACGTATGCGCATACTATACCCACACACATATACCTACGTGCATACATGACAACGACATACCATATGTGAGCCGCTGCTGCACGGCCAGCGTGCGCGTGGGTGGACGCAGGACATTGCGTGTGCGTGTACATGTACGTGTATACACGCGTGGAGAGAAGGCATATGGTCAGCAGGTGAGACCTTCGCTTTGTATTCCAAGTGTATAAAGTAGCCCACTTCGAGTGGCCCGACGTTACTCACGAACGTAACTCATGATAAAGGGGGAAAGAGAAAGAAGAAAAAAAAGAAAGGGTTGCACGCCGCCTCTTCTCCTGAAATGCTAACGATCCCTTCGAGCATCAGCATCAGAAGGAAACCTGCCGGCGTGAGGTACAAACCCATCCGTCGCGATTCGAATAGCAGAAAAACGAGGTCGTGCATTTTTCATGCGAGAATCCCGCGGCGAGTCACCTTGGCGCAACTATATCAAAGATGACTCGTCAAAATAAAATAGAAGATACAGATACGAAATAAGATGCGAAACAGTCTCTTATCACGCGTTAATAAATCACATAGATTGAAAATAGTCACGATCTTTCTTTGTCAGATTTCGCTGCATTAGGTCAAGAACGCGGATAAG